CTCAACCTAGTTTGATATTTATCGTCAAATTTGTTTTATGTACATTTAATGAAATGTATAAAAATTTTATCGTATAATATAATAACGTGACTAATTATTATAAATCTTTTGTTTTATTTATTAATAATACAAATATGAATAGCAAATATTGTATTGCTACACAATAGATATTGTCATAAAAAATAAAAATAATAAAACAATTTTAAATATAAAACAAAATGTTACAAAGAGTAAATTAAAAATCATTTTTGCTCATTGTTTTCTTCTTCTTAGAGATTCCGCGTGTAAGTTTTCAAAATATTGAATTGTTTGCGTCTCATTATTATAGATAATAATATTATATTATCGACAGTTTATCTCCAAATACTTTTAACATCGTCCTACATACTATGATTTCTCATTGGACACTTTATATAGAACATAACAGATGTGAATAATACATATATAATATATGGGTATATAGGTTAGACCTTAGACGTATAACTTACGCATATCCAGGTATTATCATGCATATTATAGCAGGTTGACTATAAATTATTATTTTTACGATAGTGCAGGCATTTAGAAATAAACAATATATATTTGATTATGGTATACATAAGAATACGTATACATAAAAAGGTCGTTACCGATACTGGGTATTGAAGTGGATATATTTTTAGTGCAGGGTACTCGCGTGTATATATATATAAGCGGCTTACTTGCTTACCACTCGGGGTGCATTCTTCGGCTTTTAAGCTGAAAGTACAGTAAACCGTACATATACGTATATAGGCCATTGATGACACTTTTAATAACATGTCTGTGTGGCTTAATGCCAATTGACAGTATACATATAGTTTTGTGCTGCAGACGTTCCAGAAGAGAAAAAAATTGACATATAACGCGTTAATAAATAATAATATACATTATACCTACAAATAGTTTTAAAATTAATTATAATATCATCGTATATACGAAGCGTTTAATTTCATTTTATATGTTACACGTGTAATAGTTATTGACCTAATAATAATATTATGTACCTATCCAGTTTATGCGTTTACCTATAACGACAAAAATCGATTCAATCGTTAAACATTTTTTTTCATAGAATTGCAAATTGAAATAAATTATTATCCTTATTTTCTATACTGTTCTATTAATCTTGACCTGTAGGTACGCTGTTAGTACTTTAGTTGGGATTTCATGGTAAAATTTGTAAATCAATCAAAAACAATTATTAAAAATAAGTATTAATCTGAGTATATTGTGTGAAGTTCTAATTCAGTACTTTTATTTTATTTTTTTTAAGCTTGAGCACTAAATTAATGACTGTATTTGAAAAACCGTTTAAAAAAGTAATTACGATTAATAAAAATCAAATACATTTTATGTTATTATAAAAATTCTGAAGCAATAATTAAAATTAATAAAAACTATATTTGTATAAATTATTTTGTAAATACAGGCCAAAGAAGAAGTTTAAAATGTTCAAAATATTTTGTTTTTTCAAAATAAATTTTCTGAAAATATCTAAGTAGTTAATATACCCACAAGTTAAAACTAAAATATTCTTCGTGCATCATTCAAAATTTGAAACAACTACATTGCAGAGGCGTGTCTAGGACCAAAATTCAGGACAGGCCTGGTTATAAAAATAACTTGTATAGTCAACACTCAACACATTTTGAGTTTAAGAAAAATTTTATTATACTGTTTAAGTCATAAGTATGACGTGTAATATTTGTTATCTAATAGCCATGTCATAGTTTTTGACGCTCAACACTACGGCGGTGATCGCCGACCAAACGACGACGGTCGTCGGGTCGTGTAATATCTATAAGGAAATATGGGGTATTTCCAAGAAGCGCTTGAGAATTGACGATAACAATTTTACGATTATTAATTTTATTTATAGACAAATATTTATTTTGTTCACAACAATAAATATGATCGATATATCGTGTGCTTATTATATATAATTTTAAAATGCATATTTTGGGTATACTTCAAGGTTAAAAATCAGGGTAGCCGGTAGGCCCGGGAATACCAGGCCTACCCGCTGGACACGCCACTGCTACATTGACAATTTATAATAAATATTATATTATGTATAACGCTGAATAGGTTTGTTGATTTTTCAGTAAGATCTCGCATGCCCTTAAATTTTAATATAGTCATAGTATTTTCTTTGCATATGCTTAGTCATATACATTTACAAATTTGGTGTCAATAAGGAATAGACAAAGTACCAACCACACATTAAATGATAAATTATTGACATGTTTCCATGCCCAAAATTGAATTCAATGATAAGAACTAATAAGTTTATGGTTCCGTGTATAATTCCATAATTTGTATTTAAAACTGTTTTGATTAACTACCATGAAAACATAAAATAATACGACGTGTCAATAATTGTAAATATTCAAATTTTAGATACTGAACAATATGAAGGATGTTTTGATTTTATAATGAGATTTTTTTGTCGTTGTTATTATTTGACCACCATTGGTGCACCAAAAGTTTCATAAAACAATTTTATTTACCTAATTATAAACTACTATAATTGGTACTTTAGAGAGAAAACGGTTTGATTTTCTAAGTTATTTCCCGAGTTCCCTTCAGTGATATACCTCGGCCAATTTCTAAGTGTGTAAGTGAGGCGGCAAATTCGATATAATAAAAATTAAACATTATTATGTTATTGGTATTGAAGAAAAACAATTGGAAATACACTTTTTGGAGTGGAATATTTTGTTTAGGTACCTAATAAACTACTTATTGTTCTACTTTGAGGCTAGTTTCTGATAGAAAATGTTATGTAGTTGGTACTAGAAGGATATTTCTACTACTTTTCTTAATAATTGAAATAAATTAACAAGGGAAAACGGAAATATTTACACATTATCAGTTTTGTATTTAAGAAAGGAATAACCGTAGAGACTTGATATTTTCATTAAATATACTAGCATTTTCTAGACATGATTAAAATTTTAAAATATTTTAGGATCAATTTTTACACCTAATAAGAAGTTCAGAAACATCAAAAGTATTATAATAATCATATTTTTTTTAAATACGATTCTAGTTCAAATTTTGACAAAATTGGGTATTAAAATATACGTAAAATAACGAATTTTTCTCAAGAATTTTTGTTATTTTGTTGTAACTCAACAAATATTCATTTTAATAAATAATGATATTCCACTGTTACCTATATTATAATTTTATATCAAAATAAAAAATGTTGTCTATCAAAATATTTACTTACTTATTTTTTTAAATATTTATAGACATGATATTTTCGAATTTTTCCGTTTTTTTTATGTATGTTTTGATAATATTTTTAAAAGCTTGAAAATTTAATATAAGGTTCCTCGGATCATTTTCTAATAGAAATTTAAAAAAATATCTACATTTTATATGGACAATTTTTAAAAAGCGTTGGAAATTTAAATTTTGACAAAACTCATCAATATCATGAAAATTTGAAAATTATTTATTTTTTTGAAAGTGTACAAGATTATGAATTTTCATACAAACTTGAGAAAAATTAAATTTTAAATAAAAAATGTATTACATCACATTTTGATTTACAAGTTTGTCAACTTAACATTTGGCGAAATTTGTTATATGGGTGTTACACCCTGTAAAAGTAGGTACTTTAAATAATAATCTATATATATAAAAATGAATGTATGTCAGTGTGTCAGTGTGTCTGTGTGTCTGTGTGTCCATGTTACCATGGTTACCAAGGTTGCCATGGTTACTAAGGTTGCCATGGTTACTAAGGTTACCAAGATTTCATATCAATCTATATATATAAAAATGAATGTATGTCAGTGTGTGTGTGTGTGTGTGTGTGTGTCCATATTACCATGGCAACCATATCTGTATATAAAAAACAGTAAGCTGATTGACTGCTATCAACGCACAGCTCAAACCATTGGACGGATCTGGCTGAAATTTGGCATACAGATATAGCTATTATAATATAGACGTGCGCTAAGAAAGGATTTGCCAAAATTCGCATTTTAAATAGGTGCTGAAACAGGGACATTGAGATTCACGATAGAAATTGGAAATTTTATTTTTATTTATTTATAGTTGCCATTGGTTACAGTCTACATTAGAAATTAGCATTTATTTATTGGTTGCCATTGGTTATTCGGGCAGATCAGGTACAAGCTTGCATCAAATCGAATTATTGAACAGGCAGGAATACGATTGAGAACGGTCATTATTGGCGATACCTTTCTTAGACCCTTTTGACTATTACGATTGAGAACGCTCAGTTTTTATTTTTCCGCCCAACGTTGCCAAACCTTGCCATATAATAATCGGCTATGGCTATAGCCTATATAAATATATGTGACTCTTAGCACTGCTCACACACTATGTAGCAGGAATAAACGTCTTTAAAACTCAATACTATTCAACAGGGTACTGTTCAAAAGGCATCAAAAGCAGATGAAGAAAAAATTTCAAAAATAATACAGTCTTATATTAACTACTGTCAAAAAATATCTTCTGATTAGTAAAATATTTAACACATATGGGAAATTTATATAGGGAAATTAAATTGTAAATTATTTTTAAATGTTTGTATTATTGGTACCTACCAATAATACAAATTTTTTTAAAAATTATGACATTTTTAAAATTTATAATTTATAATTATTTTATTCGGCTATAATACGATTGAGAACGTTCGACCTTTTTTAGCGTACGATTGAGATCACTCGAAATTTAACAATGAAATAACCGCTGACCCCAAAAAACAGTACTATTGAGAACGAAATTAAGTGCAACGTTGCCGAACTATATTCAAGTCAAAATAAAAATTAAATAAAACATTGAATAAAATAATTAAATATTATAAATTTTAAAAATGTCATATCAATATACATATATACCTACCTATAATACAAAAACTTAGAAATTTAAATACATAAGCAAAACTTCATGTCAATACACATAGGTACCTACCAATAATACGAAAATTTAAATATAATTCACAATTCAATTCCCCTATATAGATTTCCCAGATGCGTTAAATATTTTATTAATTCTTCATAAGATTTATTTTGGCAGTAGTTACTATATGACTGTATTGTTTTTGAAATTTTTTCTTCTTCTGATTTGGATGCCTTTTGAATAGTACCCTGTTGAATTGTATGGAGTTTTAAAGACGTTTCTTCCTGGGTTTCGAGTAACGTTTGTATGACAGCGTATATAGGTGGACGTGTGCAATAAAACTGTCTGTTAAAAGTCCGATGGAAACTTTCTGCGGCATTAGTAGTCCTAAAAATGAAAATTATGCATAATATATTTTCTGAAATGTTCAATATTTGTTGTACAAATTTACCTAGGATGTTGAGATGGTTCTTTTGCCCATACCACTGGTGGAAATAAACAATCTGGTTTAACGTATGTTTTTAAAATATAATCAGCAAATCTATGACCATTTAATTCATTTGGACATAACGCCATTAGCTGTATAAAACCATCTTCTACGTCTGTATGTTGCAGGAATGGGAGTCCGAAAAACATTTTCAGCCAATTACCAAGTTCACTATTTTTGTCTTTGTAGGCATTCTTTAAAATTTTGTCTTCATTAATCTAGAAACACGTTATTAAAAAAAAAAACGTTCAACCCTTAGTTTATTTACTTAGTTTTTACTTTTATGTATCATTTTAAATTTCCCCAGTAATTTTCTTGGACGAAAAGAAAAAAACTATCTAATAAACCATATTATGTGTCTGGATTTTTTTATTTGCCAATTACCAAATTTTAACTTTTTTTTCAAAGTTAACTTTTAACTTAACGAATTAACGAAAAAAAATCCGAATAACTTATAACTCAGCTTAACTTAATTATTTTAAAATAACAATTATAATAATTATAAAACGTTAACTTGCCCAGCCTTGGTTTTTTTCAAAAAATTTTTCAAAAATTGTTAAAATCTAAAATAGTAAATAAATCTTACTTTACGCCACCAAGCTTGAGCTAAATGAAAACGGCAACCAAATATCGTAACACCGGGAAATGTTTCACGTACAGCTTCATGTACACCGATTTCAAAATCTAAATGTAGATATTTAATTTCTAAAACTTTTGACGTAGTTATTAGGCATAAATCCTTTAAATAATTCCACATGTCAATGTAAGTTGTTTTTGATTTATTTTCTAAGAAAAAGAAAACTAGTGGAACATAATATCTATTTTGATAACAGTGTATAGTATACATTTGTAAAAAATGATTTGGTGCAAAATCAAAAGTTCCATCAGCCAAAAAAGTTGTGCAATTCACCATAAAATTTAGATTATCTCTAGTCGTAATGCAAATTAAATTATTTTCGTCGTGTACATGAATAAATTGTTGATCTCTATATTTAAAAACATCATTAGTCTTCATATTTCGAAGTTCAGTAACAGCCTCAATAAGATTCTTAGGTAAAGCAGGATATATTTTTCTTTTTTCGCAATAAATTGCTTTTCGAACAGATTTTAAATCTTTATGTTGAAGGACAGAAGTGTCAATGCCTTTCATGAGTTCCGTACGAATAATTTTGACTGGTCTAGTCGAAACTGATTCCACTGCTTTCCTTTTACAATTTTCCCTTAACACTTGACGTTCAATTTTTGAAGTGGCTATCATAGAATGAAAGTGCTCACCTAAAACTTCTTTAACAGATAATTGGTTTTCACCATTTTTTTCAACTTTTTCAACTAACAAACTTGCTGTGCATTTGTTATTGGTGCATGTCCACTTCTCAATATTGTCTTTTCTCCGTCTAATGAAACGGTGTTTGTGTTTGTTAAAAACAATTAAATTTCCACCACGCTCAGAGGTAATAAGCCTTATTTCTTGGTTATTTTCCATTTTATTTAAGTAAAATATTAATTTTATAACGAAATATTTAACGTAAAATATTTAGCATAACACAACGCATAACACGGGAAATCACGTACTGAGTAATACGAAAGTATATCTTTTGATTATTCGTTGCAAACTTGCAAACAATTCGTTATCGATGTATTTATATAGATCATTATTATCATTATTAATGGATAAATGTATTATCTGATTAAGATAGCGAATGTCACATAGACAGTGTGTGAGCCACGGTTATCTACTAGTAGACTAGTAGACTAGAGTAGATAACCGTTGTGTGAGCAGTGCTAAGAGTCGTATATATTTATATAGCCGATTTTCATATGGCAAAATTTGGCAACGTTGCACGGAAAAATAAAAACTGAGCGTTCTCAATCGTAATAGTCAAAAGGGTCTAAAAAAGGTATCGCCAATAATGACCGTTCTCAATCGTATTCCTGCCTTTTATTCAATGTTTTATTTCATTTTTATTTTGACTTGAATATAGTTCGGCAACGTTGCACTTAATTTCGTTCTCAATAGTACTGTTTTATTGGGTCAGCGGTTATTTCATTGTTCCATTTCGAGTGATCTCAATCGTACGCTAAAAAAGGTCGAACGTTCTCAATCGTATTACAGCCATTGAACAATGCTTACCAGGGTGGCAGAGTTGCACTTACCGCAGAAAATTACACCCAAAAGGAGTTCAACAATCATAATTTTTTTAAGAGTTGCGATTTTTTACGAGCAACCAAATTTATTATATTAATCCACAGTATTACATCAAAATAAACTTGGTATAACTTTGATACTTTAGAGTTAAATCATACACTTCCGTACAAACAGCACGGGGTCCGCGATCTACCGCAGGTAGATTGCCTACCTGATAATGTACTGCTGCGATTCAGAATTTTTATTCAAGGCAACGGGAAAGATAAGATAAATTTTGAACACCATACACGTTAATGAATTGAACAAAGTTTGAGTAGGTAGTATTGAGTTGATCCATTTAACGGGCGACGAAGTGCACGGGATCAGCTAGTAGGTAAATAAAAATTGAAAATAACTTTCATATTTTAAAATCTTAGAAATAATAGGCAATAACAAACCGACGTCTCCGATTAGAATCAGTTTTCGTATACTTACAACGTTTTATGATTAAATTCTGAAAATATCAAACACGACATCCATTACAATTTACAGAGACCTGCTATGAATAGATACACTCGAAACGACAAAACCAGCTACACAGCATACTGACTTCTTCAGTTTTTTATGTTTTTATATGTTGAACTAAAGATATTCAATAATATAATGGAGTTCAATATAATAATTATTGAATTCGTTGATAATATTATATTATACACTCATCATATCAATGTCCCACCTAAAACAGTGGCCTTGCACTGTAAACGTGCGAAGGATGTCCACAGCTCAATAATTTTTCGTGCCATATATTATTATATTTGACATCATAAATAGTGAAAATAAATACTTGCCTTGGTTTTTAATTATATGGTAAACGAGTATTCAGCTGCACCTGTAATTTGCAGGCAATTAAACCTATATAAACATTTTTATTTTTAATGATCAAAAACTTAAAATACTTTCAATGAATGATTATGGTATGGGCATTATTTAAAATGTATTCCAATTAATTAGAATAACTTTTTTAACTTCTAGAAATAAGATAGGTAGAGGTACATGTATAATAATTATTTGTTTTCCTTACTTGTCAGATAGTATTATATCTGGAGTTGGAGTACATATTATATAATCCAACAACCAAAATAACTCTTAAAACTTTTACCGTATCGTATTATTATCATTATTATCATTATTATTATTATTATTATTATTATTATTATTATTATTATTATTATTATTACGTAGATACAGAACAGCTTTCAATGTACTAAGATATAAGTACTTCGATTACGGTCATAATTATGTCTGTTGAACCTCTCGGAGAACTAAAATTCAGTCATTTGAATGCAATGGGTTAATGATGCCACTTTTTATTTTAATGAGAAGAATTCGCACTTGTTTTGTTTTTATTCGTACAAAAATCTTACGGAAGACTTACTGTAAGTTGCAGCGCTGTACTGTCAACAAAGTTACAATGTTTGTGATAACATTATTAATTCATCATAGTACCTACCATACTCAGTCCATTTTGTGATTGCGGTCAATGTCACTTTGTTGTTAGCTTTTGAGTTATTATTATTAAAATTATTATTTTTTTTTTTTTTTACCTGTATGGCTGTATTATTGAGGAGGGTTTTAATCAGCACCAGTGGGTAATAATGTACATAGCACCTACACCCGACCGAGAGTGTATGTCCGTTTGTATGTTCGAATGTATGACATACACTTTAAAGAAACTTAAAAGTCAAAAAAGAATTGCTAGTCAATTAAAACCACAATGAATATTTTATGGGTTCATTATACATTTAAGCCTATATATCGTGTATAGTTTCCAAACAACGCTTTTTTAGGGTATGAGAACTCGTAATACGATGAATTATTTGAATCATATATACCAAAATTAAAAATAATAAATCAAAATAGATTTATGCATTGCATTCCAATTGTTTGTTATAAAATATAAAAAGTTGACGATCAAACAATAAAACACGTATTTTGAAACCGCCACAAATATTTTTGGTAAATCATTAGAGAACGTGCTTTGTATAATGAGGCATCACTGAACTATTGTATTTTAAAGACTCGTTCGTTGAACTTCATACCAAGTATTATTTAACTGAATACATGAAATGACATTTTTTTTGGAGCTATATATACTTTTTATAATTTGTTATATTTTCACAATGAGTATTCTAGTTATATAGCCTATAGTCACTGAATGGTGTGACAAACTATTGGTCATACAATGACATTATTTTTCTTTCAAAAAACATGTTTGGTATATTTTTAAGTAAAACCTAACCTGGATGTACCTACTATATTTTAAAAATTAACACGTTAAATATTTTTATATAATACAAAGTTAACTAATTTGAAAAAAATCGTGATGTGTAGGTATCAGTTATTTTCTATGTTAAAAAACGTTAAAACGTTAGTTGAAAACTATAATATAGTTTTTCATACTGATGATGTGTTGAAATATTTAAGAAGTTATTTAACTTTAAAATATTCAAATTCATTAAACGTTATTTATGTTAACACTGTATTTAAAATGTCTATGTAGGTAGAGAAGAAATAAACATTAAACAATCTGTCTAATTATAGTGAAATGTTCATAGATTTATTACTGCATTCTGTATTAATTATTTGTCCTGTCTCCTATACTCGTAAAATTATAACTATAAAACTTGAATAAATTTTAAATAAATATTTATATTTGGAGATGGTGGTAGATGTGATCTTCAATACAATAACAATAAAATATACAGTTACAAGCTTATTATTATTTTTCTACCGTCTAAGTTTTCTATAAGTTATATCTGAAGAATTTTTACTAACTGATAATAATCTTTTACTAATTTTATATGTTTCCATTCAAAAAATGTTTGATATTATGTACTAATGCTGATTTATTCCCATGCATTTTATTTAGTGAATCTGATCTTATCCATACTAATTGTAGATTGAATAATTATTAATTAGGCATCAAAAGTAGAATTAAAAAAAAAAAAAAAAACATTTTTACTTAAATGTATAAGATTTAAATAAGTTTTTCTTGTAGGTATTGTATACCATTGGATGCCAGTATGCCACTATTAACTGACTTATATTTATAATAGACAAGCATAATATATTAATAAATTTAAATTTAAACCAATATTTAATAATTGTTAATATTATGATACCTACCTATATACGTTTAGGTATACCAATAGGCAATAATGTTTGTATTAATTTTATTTTATATTCGATGGATTTGTAATTTGATTAGTTCCGAAACTGATTTAGTATAATATGTAAATATATTCTCTGTTTTCCTATTTCCTCGAGGATCTTTCACTTATCTTAGAGATTAATCGCTTACGCATTTGTATATTTTATCATTTACTATATATCCGAGAGTGACCGGTATATTTTTAACTTATTATCTTATTATGTGACCTTTTTGAGCAGTGAACAGTGCAGTTGCAGTTTGTATGTTGGGTGGTAAATTATTTCATCCAAATTCCAATTACAATATCAGGGAAAGGGACTTACGCTTACATATTATCATCTGTTGCACAAATAACGTACACATGTGTACACTGCAGTACAGTTTATTAATTTTTTGTCAATTTTCGTATACTACAGTAAATCTGCCAACTACAAGTTACAACCGTGTGTAATTTGAAATCTCGATTATCCACGTTTTATTGTATAGGTATGAATAGGTACCGCAAAAACCTGTACCTAAGGGTTTTTAAATAGGTAGTATAAAATATACCTATAAATCATGTCCATCCGTAACACCATAGGTATTTTTGATTATTTTATTTATTATATTTATATTTTTTTATATTTTTATATTTTATTACATATTATGCGTGTATTCATTTATTTATTTTTTTTTACTACCCACTTACCTATATTATACATAACCTTTGTATAAACAATCAAAGTGCGTGTGTTCGCCGAACGTTTCTTCTGCACATACAAGAATTCCGGCATTCTTTCTTGTTTATGTGCTTGTACTTACAACATACATCTATATAATATATAATATATATTAGGTACGCGTACTGTCATCAACAATATAATACCTATATATATATATATATATATGGTTTGGCCCGTCAAATCCCAGCAGCAAGTCTTCTCACGAAATTCCGAAAACATAAATTTCTCATCAATTCACCCATCGTCCGCGCGTCAATATAATAGTACACACACATATATATATATATATTATATACGAACATTATACAGCGGGCATCCGGCCCGCCTGCACCCGGTACGGCGGCGGGACGTCGCTTATATTGTATACGATATTATATATTTTCTTCGGTAACACTTTCACGTATTCCATTGATCGCGTCATCTCC